CATAAGTATATTGCAGTGATTTTTGACAACAAATGAATGGTAGAAGAGAGAGGTGTGTGGCACTACTTGTACTGTGTACCACCAGCAAACAAATTAATGAATCGAAAATGCACTTTATCAGATTTCTTTGGCTTTGAAAGATGAAGTCTCTTATGTGAAGTTATGAGAAGCAAATGACTTCATCTGGATGTACTGCAAACCAACAAAAATATTACAAATCTAAATTAACAAGACATAAGGGATGGAACAAAACTTGCAACGTGACAATTTTTTCCTTTTGCTTTTCAATCATAACACATTCTTACTCTATATCCAGATGTTTTAACATGTACACCTCTCTTAGTTAGTGTGGATTTCATACGAATACTGAAGGATCTGTCAAAACCTTTGCTTAGGTTAGGGGTCATGATACCAGCTGGAAAAGATACAGAGATAAGATTATAACATTTGCTGTAATACTTCTGCTGAAATGCTTTCAGGCTCAATTACTGATGTTCTTATATTCTAAATGAAGTAAGATATCTACTGATATTAGGGTGAAATCAACTTTTAATTTAAAAAGAGATAATCAAAAAAGAATTGCTTTAAAATAAGCTCAGAATAATTGTGATGTGGTCTTTATTTTAGATGATATGAAGATGTTTCTTGATATTTGGGTTGACTATACATTCTGATAATAACTAATTTACACTGAATTACAAAAATATTGTATTTTGGATGACTGACAATTAATCTTAACAATTTTGTTTCAATTCATTCCCCCTGCATACCTCGTTCATGTAAGGGAGAAGTTATGGTTGGCGTCCCTGCAGTGGAAGATGAGTCGTCTGATGTGGAGCCACCAGAGGGCGTTCCTTGTGGTGGATTGAGACCAAACTGATCTGAGAGCTCAGAGTGATCCTGCTGGTGTATGTAATCAAAGATGCTGCTGCCTGTCATCTCCACCTGATACATAGATACAGAGAACTAATGTAGATGTCAGTTGATGTGAGAAAAAAAACCTCTACAAGACTCTCAGTGATAGGGATCAATTTTTCATGAATATTCTTTCTTTTAAAAACTACAGCAACTTTCATTTTTGAAAAGCAACTTTCATTTTTGAAAACCTGTTTTATGTCCTTTCTTCAACCTTCCTATTAATAATGCTACATAGTGGTAAATGAAGTAACATCATGATGGAGCATCTTACCTGTGAGAGCCCCAGATAAATGGAAACGGTTTCTGATATATAGAGAAATCTTCCATCATTTGTTAAAGAAAAACCAAAACCATCCAGGGACTGTAATGTAAAAGTCTATAATAAATGTAATATTCAGTATATGTTAGATTTTGCAACTTTAGGACTTATTAAATTTATCAATTGGATATAAAAAAGGTTAAATGTCATGGAAATGGCGAAATCAGAAAAACAATATATTAATTATATTGTTGCTGTTGAAGATCAGTTAAAAATTAGTTTTTTTTTTTTTTTTTTTTTTTCCTTATTAACCTTGGGTAGACTTTTTATTGGACACATATTTTTCGAGCTTATTGACTAAAACAAAAATCTAAACATATATAATTTACATCTTAAATTTTTCGTATTCATTTTCACTGGTTTCCAAAAGATTTAGTAAAATCATCATTTGCTATATAAAATTACACATGATTATAGTACTTGCCAGCCAAAAAAAAAAAAGAAAAAAAATTTCCATAAAAAGCTTCTACCATGTACAGTCTACATATCAGATTTTTTCTAATATTAACATCACACACACAGAGTAATATTGGAGAAAAAAAATCTGATTTCAGCTGTTGATCAAAGAAAGTACCATTACAGTAACTGAGTGTTGAACACAGCTGTTGTCATTTTTTATAGGATTACATAATACTATCCTAAAATGAGTTTGGCTTTAATATTTGCCTGTAAAATATGTGAGCCTTGGCTGGTTTCGAATATTTCCATGGCAACTGCCGACATACTTCGTCTTCGACTCTGATTTCCTACAAAACACATCACAAGAATACTTTCAATTAAATTTTTTGAATAATTAACCAAATCCAATATCATATAATATCTGTATTCAACAATATATCCTTTTTCAATAAAAATGAATAAAAAGTTGTTGTTGTAAACTATACATGTAACAAAAAATTGTTATAGAAAAATTCTAGACATTATGCTAAAGATAACAACAAGACAATAGATGAATGGAGTTTTGCTGTCTACGTATTATCAGATACGCCTTGTATTAATAACATTTGCCACAGGTGCAGTATGTTGAAATTATATACCATTTTCTGTGTGATTTTTTGACATCGTAAGTGGCTACAAGCTACTGTATGTTTATATCAGTCTGGGGTGCTGTACACATATCCTATAGAGGCCTTTAGGACTTGTACAGAGTCCTTAAAGTATCCTTAAGTGTCCCATAGAGTCACACAGGATGTCCTAGTGAATATTTTTGTAAGGAATACTAAGTTCTGAGGGCATTTTTCTGTTCTTTAATGGACACGTAAGATGAAAGTGATGTTCATAGAAAATACTTTAATGAATTTGTTCTAAAATTTAACTTTCTTCACATTCTTATTTAAATTCTTTATTTTCTAATGAAAAATGCAGCCATTTATCAATCTGTAAGTTAACTTTCCATACGGCATATCTAAAAAGGTAACTGTTTAATCTGAATAGTCATGACAGAAAAATAACAAACAATTTATATACTGTTGAAGAACGATTCAGTGCATAAATACACTGTACTTCGGAATTTATGAGTAAATTGCTGAAAATTCCAGGAAAATCCAAATTTTTGCTGTATAACCATCATCTATTATGCTGTACACTCAAAGGGAACATGGCTTGGATTTCAGCCCGACAAAGCAACCTTGTTTATTCTAAATAAATCAGGTATATAGTATGATATGTAAGGGGAACAGGTACAGTAAAGCCTAGACTGCACGTACCATCAATTTGCAGAAATCACCAACCCTGGTTTTTTTAATTTGATATATCTATGCAAGAAAGGAGGTGTCACTGTGTAGACAGTTTCTGCTGATGGTGAAAATCTGAACCTTCATATTAGCAGTTATTCAAACTGCCTCTGGTCTTATGAAAACTGATTATTATTTATCAAGGATAAATCAAAATAAATCAATATTGTTGTTGTTTTTTTGTTTTTTTTTTTTTGTTGTTGTTGTTGCTGTTCTTCTTCTTCTTCTTCTTCTTATTATTATTATTAATTGTAACTCATACCAGTGTAAAGGTTAGGTTAAAATCTGATTATTGCTGGCTTTGGCATTTATGTCTGTTTTTCCTGGATCTGGTCAATCAATGTTCAGTATTTAAGTCACATCTGGCAGGGCATGAATTTCTTACTTTCTTGAATTTGTAATATAAAAGATGCATGTGGTGAAATTTTTTCCTGGATATGGCAACACTTCTCCCTTAATCACCAAAGTACATCTTATCCAAAACCATTGAGAAAATTAGTCTCTGAAAACCCCTTTTTGAGTTCTAAATGTCTAATTCTTGATGCCATGGGTGACCGAAACTGACAAGTCTCCATCCTGACAACAACAGTGATGCAAAAGCTACAAATGTAAAACTCAAAATTGCATTGATGGATAGTAATTCTGTGAACTGTTTTAGACATAGTATACTTGTGAATTGTTTTAGATATAGCGATGAAAAGAAAAATATTAAAATTTCAAGGGAAATCAAATATTTGGCACTCACTTGTCTTTAAGCAATTTCAAATGCCAAGTTCGTAAGTAATTTCTCCCTGATTTTTTCCTTTCCTATTTTTTTGTGAAACCCACTACACACCTTTTGCAATGGTCTTATTGGGTGGTGGTCCGTCTCTGCTCCACGGAGGATCACCATGGCTGGAGAAGTCCCGCAGCTTGAGATAACTGATGGTGAGGCGGATAATGGAGGCCTTGTCCAGCTGGCCAGTGATGGCACCCGGGAGCGGCAACATCTTTGCCAACTCGTAAAACTCGAAGTTCTCTTTCCCACGTCTGGAGCGTGCAGCATCTCGTGATCGTTCCTTCCTTATTTCCAGTATGCTGTAATGAGTAATTATTAAAATTGTAAGTACTAGCAAATAAATCAGGTATAAAACATGAAGTTTTTTCTTTTCACTTCTGTAGCATCTTGAGTTGAAATCATCCCTTCTTTATTTCCTGTAAGGTGTAAAGATTAAAAATAAAAATAAATAATAATACATGGATAATTAAACAAAATGGCAAACTGATTCAAACACAAAAAGCAATATAACTGATTCAGAACTCATTTTATTACTTTTCATTTGAAAATATTGTTCAACTTATCTTTTTCTGTAAACAAACTTTTTCACGAGACAAACTTTCATCCAAGTATCTTTATAAATATATAATAATGACAGATCTGTATTGAAAAAACAACAATTTCTTCTTATTTCATCCAAACATTTCACTCAGGACCATCAGTCCAACTTGACAAAAGGCCATCTTTTCAGACTTAAAACTGCAAAGCAGCCTGCGTCACAAAAAGAACCTAATACCTAAAATTGGGCCATTTTATCATATAGTTAATATATCAAGAACATCATTGTGGTTTTTGTAAGTGCAGTGAAAGTTTTTTTAAATATTACAGTATATATTTGAACTTAACATCAGTATAGTTAACTTTAAAAAACAAAAGAAAAAGAACTCTAAATCTCTTTTACAGTCCTACCATACCTTCTCCAACCACCACTTGACACCTCTAAATTATAATCATTGTCTATACTCAATAAACTCAATTCTGCCCTTGAAAAAACATAGTCCATTTGAGCAGAATACTGGTAATCTTGAAGTAGAACACAGCACAAAGATGTCACTCTGCAGAAGACAACAGACAATGTGACCTCTGCCAGTTTCTTAATCAGAGGCAGAACATATCCAATCCTTGTTTTATAAGAATTTGTAGTGAGAGCATTATTCAAAGAAAGGGAAGTCGAGGAATCAAATCAAGTTTAAAAACATGAGGGCTTTAAGTACTGCTTTTATTAACAGAAATACAAACCAGTTATTTCCAATTATGCATCTCGCGTTTATTCAATGAATAGAAATAGCAATTTTTTGTATGAAAAAATTATCCAGAAAAATATACATGTAACAAAAAGCACATGAGCTTATCAAATTCAATAATGAATTTGCTCATACAGAGCCCCATTATCAATATTCAAAGCATTCCTTCATATTTTTTAATTTCCATTTCTAATTTCTTGTTCATTAGTTTTTTTCCTAAATGTCTGACAGAAGTTAGAAACTTGACAAAGATTGAGGAAGACATCAAAGCCTGGACTTGAAGACAAATGTGTAATGGAATCAGTACCATGACTTTAACTGACTTTTATTTCATTTGTGTCCTGGTGTCCTTATCCAACACCTTATTTCTAAGACCATTTTTCTATCTACAATGAATATTAAATCAAATTTTCAGTCCATTTTTTTTCAATTTTGTCATTAAAATACCTATTTTCTGACTATTGGTTTGGACAATGGTTAAGTATTCATGGCAACAACTACTACAACAAATGATACAAAACAATTTTACTCCCAGTTTAAAAAAAACTATCCTCAAAATAAACTTGGACCTGACCCAAGGAGTTGCGGTTTACCAGTAATTAAATATATGAATTACAAGAAAACAGTCTGTAAAACTACAAGGTACATAAATATTCATGTTAAAATGTAACTATCCATTTGTCAATCTGTCAGTTTCTGCTTAGGCCTGGTGTCGGAAAGAAAAAAAAAAGGTGGAGGGGGGGGGGGGGGGTCTTCAGATCAACCGTAAGTCCAAACTTCTAAACAGATTTTTTTTGACTAATTCAATTCAGATACATTCAAAGCAATTCTTTAAAACAAACTGCTGTCTAAAACATTAGCAATTTCTTTTTTTTATAAAACAGGCAAATTTTTTTCATTTCCGTAGACAAGTATGACTGGATCAAAGTATGGTATTGACTCAGTCTTTCTTATGTGGAAAACCTATCAATTTTTCAGATAATTTTGGAAAAAAATGTGTAAAAATATGTTTGTATTTCTAGGTAACATTTATGATGCTTTCACTATAAAGAATAGAACTATAAGGTAGCCTGCTTTTCAATTTTGTTGCTATCACTCCATAGGAATATTCTAATTGTTAAAATTAATGACTTAAAAAGAATACAGTATCTGTAAAATTCACAATTTTCCCATCAAAAAGATGGAGACATTACTTTTAAAGACCAACTTCGTGTTCCAATTTTTTCTATTTCAATTTTTTTCAAACCCTACCCCTTGCATATGATGGCCAGCCAGAGATAGCCTCAGTAAGGAAAACCCCTACAATACTTAAAGATGTACAAGTATAATCTGCACTGCAATCTTACTTAATATATGCTGGGCTATCTATCATCTGTCAAGTGTGCCGAGGTCAGGAGGACATACTTATTTGTTGGACCAAACAACCAGGTTTTTTTTCTCAACAGCAACAGCTGTCAGGGAAAAATGACAAGATATCTTGCTCATTTTTTAATGAGAACTAATTTGTCTTAAACATTTTTATATGATATTGAAATAGTTTACAAGTTGATTCTAAAAATGGGTCAGCATCGGAATATATATATATATTGACAGCTTACAGAAAAGATCCTTTTTTGTGTGTATAGAAATGTTACATAATGTCAATATATTGTTGCTCTTTATTTTATCTGAATGCTTTTAGATATATAAGCTCCTCACTCAAAGTACACATAAATACTTCTCTCTCTTTCTATATCTATTATACTTTATTACTTTTACCAAGGAGGTGATGTGAACAGATTTTGGGGGTGATCCAGATCACCATCTGGATCCAGGACATTTTAAAAAGATAGGGCTAATTTGGTCATTATTACTAATTACTACATAACTAATGTGCTTACTAAAATAAATACTGAAAATTTAGGTACATTACTATTTGATTAATAAGCAGTTAACCCCATAGAGCCTGGCAGCATCTGACCTAGAAAGTGCCCTTGGTCCTGAGCCCTCTACCCAGATGCACTCAATTTTTCAGGCGGCCTCATTTAATCGATGATAATGTATTCACTTCTTTAGAAAACACCTATAAACTGTACATTTTTAAAAAGCCAAGAATGTGAGCTTTAAAGTCATATCAGTTTTATTCACATTTGTTAACTTAGGTAGAAATAGCAGGAGTTTAAATATGAGACTTGCTTTTCTCGAAGAGAAGTAAAAAACAAAACTTTAATTTCAGCATGCACATTCTTTTTCACTTTACCAAATAATTTGTTGAAATTTTCTCATAAACATTTGAAATATATCTTAAACAATGTCAGAAAATTTCAGAAAGATATCTTATTTAGTTTTTGAGTTTTAGTTTTTTAGTTTTTGTTAATAAATTTTCTGGGATGCGTGCTGTACCTAAAAACTTGCATCACGTCAGAGAGTTGCACAATATACAGGCAGGCTAGCTGACTAGAAGACTTCCACCTAATTACTTTAATAATTACAAAAAGACTGTAAATTTAGTGCTTTTTACGATAGTTTTTCATAGTTTTTTTAATCAACTGAACCAGGATACTCATAAAATTTTGTTTAGCACTCAAACCATGTACAAGAATACAAACATTATCATGAGCAAATATTACACTTTCGTGAATAAAAATTGCATCATAAAAATACAAGTAAACGTGGCATTTGTACATTTGGCATTTGTAATACACAAGCAGGAAAAGATATGTTGATACAGCGCACTAGTAAACATATTACATCTGTATTTACACACAAGCAGGAAAAGACATATGTTGATGCAGCAAACAAGTAAAAATATGTCATTTGTACTTAGACATAAGCAGGAAAAGACATCTTGATGCAGTTCAACGTAACATATGACATTTGTATTAATACACAAGCAGGAAAAGACACGTTGATGCAGCACACAAGGCAACATTTAGTCTGACTTGCCACGGTTACAGTCATTTTATCAGCGATATAGCCATTCCAATTACTATTGTCGTCTGCTTGGTTACTGCCGTTAGTATCATCAGCGTTTTTCATAAATCAAGCCCCACGTCCGAATCTGCTCTCTGACAACTCATACTCGGCAAAGTTCCATCATCTTTGAAGTTATCGGAGTATCAAAATCTATCAAGGACTCTTCTCGAAGTCTGAATTTTCTAACAAATCTAAAACATTTCTCAACCCATAACTTCTGCTGACTTCTCGCCGCCATTATGACTTCGTAGGGCCTCGACAATGATTGAAATAAACCGCATTTTCATTATTTAATTCTCGCTACACGTCTTTCAAAAGCCGGTAGTAAACAAAAAACTAACATTAAGTTAGTTTTGTGATAGAAGCATGAATTGTTACAAAAGACAGGGGACAGTACAAGCATGTAAACACAGAAACCGCGTATATGCGGTTCCCGGCACTGAGGACTTTTTAAAATGAACCGCATATGTGCGGTTCCCGGCGCTATGGGGTTAATATAATGAGAACTGAGGTGCCTTAGCAGAGGCGCTGTGCTCTCTGATTTTCTATAGCTACGGGTATGTATATATGACAAGAGGGTAAAGTTTTAGTAGATAAATGTATGTTGATTATCTAAGCCTGGCTCTGTTATCTGTTTTTAAGAGGGTCGTTAATTTTTATCCCCCAAAAAATAATCTCCATAGGACTCAAATATACCATTTTTAAAATTGATATAGAATAGGTAAAATATGTCTTTAAAAATGCTGCCACATTGTAATCAAACCAGAGAGATACCCCTCCTGATATATGAGGAAAAAAAAACTGTTCAGAGCAAGACAGATAAGAAATGTGTAAAAAATTGTTAAACAAACATCCAAAGTTTGACTAAAATGTGAAAAATTGTAATTCCTCCTTTTATCTTTAAGGTGACAATAAGCTTCAACATCAAGGTCATTACTGTGGTCCAACCGCAAAGAGTCGAGTTTCACAACTTCTCAAATTGTTCTCATTCTGTACTTAGGTTAGTTTTCAACTGGGGTTACAAGAGGGATGTTCATCAGACCTTCTGAAAAGAAAGGTCA